CGAAGGACATGACGAAGAACACCAAAAATTCTCATCAATCCGGTACGTTGGATCTTATTTTTATTAATTTAACAATTACGGTTATGTCCGAATCTGAAATAACCATGGCTCCAGACTCCTTCACACCATGGCCACATATCACCGGAGTGGAGACGATTTCAAATTCGGAGCTTCTCTTCGCATATAAAATCATACATATGGTCTCTTTGTTTCGGGTTCCCTCTACAATAATTAGTACATATTTCAAAACTGAGCTACAAAAGAGCACATTGGATTTTGGGAAACATCAAGATTGCTTTCTACCTTCCAAGAAACATGATAGACTAATTCACATCCAAGACCAAACATTAGCCACATAAAGCCTGAATCAAATTAAACGATCTTAGGATGCTCTTCATAATCCGTAAGTTAAAGAGACTTGCATTAATATTGCAAATTAGACTCTAGAGGTCCACAATGGTTAATCAGAGTGTATCAAAGACGACGAATAAAGCATGAATTAGAATATCAGCAGAGGAAGCACACAAATATTCAATAAACGTAATCAATCACTGAGAATAGCATGGACCCAACTTTTGAAAGATTCATAAAAAAGGAAGATTTTTCCTATGCAACAATATTCAAACAATGAGAAGATCAATGATTGATGACTAACCATACAACCGAAGCAAAGCCATAAACAGAAACGAAAGTACTAAAGAGCCACAACAGCAGTGATACGACATTTGTTTCCTCGCACTGGAAACAATGACGTGCTTCCATAAATCCAATCTAGTTTTTATGGAAAACAAACCTGCATTCATAATAAACACTACTATTAATTATTATTTTTTATGCAAGAATTAAATGGCAGTATAAAAAATTCAATGGTTAGTGCCGAAAAAAAAAGCAAGAATTAGTTATGATATCAAATCAAAATTAAATATCAAGCAAGGTATTTACATAAAATTAAGACAGTGGAGGATCTAAGAATTTTTTATATGACAATATCTACAACTAAACAAAGAAAATTTATATATTTTTAAAACAGAATCATTATTTGTTTTTTGGTAAGATTAAAACCGAATCATTATCATATTAGTAAAATTATCATTTATTTATTATTATCCACGTTAATTTAAAAGTTTAAGAGAATATCTGCTTTTTTCTCATAAAAGGATGGAATAATAACATAACTCTTTTAGATTTATAACTATATTTGACATTATCATATTAAATCTATTAAGATAAATATATTTCTTTTTGAAAAATATAAATAAAATGATAATATAATTATTATAGATTTACAATTATATTATTATCCATGTCAAAATTTTAAAACATTTTACTTTTTTCTCACATAGGAAGATAGAACAATAACGTAACAGTTTAAGATTTACAACATAAAAATAATATCAGAATTGGAACGCCAAATCATAATCAACACAATTAACACAACTCTAATGGGAAATTAGAGTTATCTTGTGATTAAAATACTAAACAAACAAAACTAACCGAAACAAAACAAAAGTCTTCCTTTCAAAATCATTAACGTCACGGATTGCTGACTGATTAAGTTGAAGTTTTAGGCATTTAAAGATCTAGAAAGATGATTAAGATTAAACATTTTTATTTATTTTAAACAACGATTGAATGTTGACAAAAAAAAGAAGAAGAGAGTGTTGGGACCATCGGGAGAGACAACGTTGAGCAGCTGCGAAAGAAGCCAACGTTGTCTATTATGTTCCTCACAGTGTTTGATTTGACTTTTGATGACATTACACTCCTGTCCACTTGTTGTCTCGAAAGTTCATGCAATGGAAAATTATTAAACAAAACAATTTACTTTTATGTATAAATCCTAGGGAAGAACTGATCAAGCTAAGATCAATGGTTGTGGTTTTAGTACCGTATACTTCTCAAATATACCCGTTGAATAACGGAAATCCGCAAGACGGGGAGGAGACGAAGTCAACCTAGCTGGCAAAGGAGCTAACCCAGCTCATTTAGTCTTATTTATGGTCATATGTATTTAGCAAAATATGGTATACAAACCGAACCAATCAACAACAAAACCTGGTTTTAAATTGTTGTATATTTCTCAAAAGTCAAAACCCATAATAACCAATGGA